CAGAGCCTCAGACCGAAGTAATCTTCTTCCATGTCACGGTCAGACCTGGGTGGGGTTTTACCATGCTTTCAGTAACCAACAACAGTAGCATTTGCATTTCATTCCCTGATGCTCTTCCCTAGTAGTGTAAGGATATTCTTTTCAGCTTCAGCTATGTGTATCTTCATTTGGTTCCCAGCCACCACTGTCTTTAACAAGAGGAGGGCAAACTAGTATGTGCCACTGGTGTTTTAGCTTCTGTCATCCTTTACAACTAGAGGCAGAATATGGGTGCATTTAAGTACCTGGCTCTTGGGAGTGTGAAAAATAAACAGCCAAAACTTATTACTTGCTTTCCACTCCCTCCTTCAGTACATACAGATTTCCTGTGAAGGTATGCCCTCAGGAAACATGTACATGCCAGTTCTCCAAAGCTTTGGAGGCAGTGGTCTGCTCCCATCTGTGGCATGTCTGTGAACAAACACTGAAGCCCTTCCTGAAAGTCAACATCTCTCCCTACTTACTCTCCTGTAAAGAGGGGAAATGTGCCACTGTGAAATAGCTTCTGAGCAAAGCAATTGTGCTCAGAGCATGGCATCAATGAGCTTCCCTGGCAGGTTCTCCGAGACCTCTTCCACCAAAGCTAGGAGTCAGTACCAGAGCTCAGGAATTTATATCCAGGAGGAAAAGATAACTGAGAGACAGAGTAGCTTCTTCAGGATTCAGCTTTCAGGAAAATGAAGGCCTGGAAATACTGGAGTTTTGCAAAGTCCTGTTACTAAGTCTCTCTCCACCCCTGCTTCCCCCCAATCCCATTTGAGTTGCCACAAGGGTGGAGAGGAAAGCGTTCTATAGTTATAACAGCTACAGCACCTTGCTGTGGCACTGATGTCCCCTCCTTTCTCACCCTATGTAGAACGTTACATTATCCTCTGCGAAGTATTTGTGCAGGATACTTTAAGGAAAGCATTTTCCATTCTTACAAGACACGCACCTGATAGTCTGTCAGCTCCCCTTTTTCAGAAGCTGTCCTGCCACGGAGCTATTTCTCTCCTATGTGTATTCTGCTACAGTTTCACTTGCATTTCTTAGTTCTCCTAGCTGAAGCGGTAATACAGGGTATCAATTCAAATGGTGAACTCTCCAGCTGTGTCGTTCACGGAGCTGACAGAGACTGCAGCAACTGGAGAATATTGCCAGAAAGAGAGGTGGTGTATCTCAGTCCCTACCCAGATAAGACTCGTCCAGCAAACCAGTAATGGGAAAAAAAAGAGTGTATTAAAATATTCACAAGATTACAATAGAAAACATGAAAGTCCATTCAAGAAAAAATATCCAAGATAACCGTTTCCAGATGCGTCTGTAAAAGCAAAAGCACTAACAGTTGGTACACTGGCTCTTCATGTAATCAGGCCATGCAATACGTATCTAGCTCCCTCACACAGATTATACACCTGTCTTTACAGGTGTTTGTTCTCTTGCATACCTCCAAGACAGAGGTTTACAAAAGAAGAGTACCCAGTCTATGTTTCCAGTTACATTTACCACATAAAAACAGCTGGCATTGCAGGGAGACAGAAAAGATTGCACAGCACATTGATCTCCAAAGGCATTGAACTTGCATTTTAGAGTGCAAAAATACCTTTAAATGAAAGGGCTTAT